GCCACCCCACCCCCCCTCCCCCCCAGCCACAGCCCCAACTCTTTGTGAGGCTACAGGATGAGGGACCTGCATGGCATTAACGATAATCCGGGATCCCCTGGGAACAAGCAGAGGTGATGGGCAGCCAAGGTACCAGCTGAGCCTCCCGGACAGGTTACTCCCACATGAACACACCTTCTGCAGGAGCAGGTGGAATTCGAGCAGCTTCTGAAGAGACTCACTAAGCAAAAATGCCACCAGGAGCATCCCTCCATCTGAGCCTTCCAGATTTGCCAGTATCTAACCTCTTCCCGTGCTGGTCTGTGCAGTCGCACACTGAACCAGCCTTGCCCGGGAAAGCAGTCCCGTTGGCACCGTGCTCAGAGAAGACCCCAGCTCCACAGAGGGGTGCAAGGGAGATGCTTCACCGCTCCCATCAGCTTCTGGCAGGACTTTTACAACAGCCCAGCAGCCTCTGCCTCTTCATCATTTACAAATATCGCTGTCCCCTACTTGCAAAAACAGTCCTGCCTTTTATTACGGTCAATGCAGCAACTATCTGCTCCCACAGGCTGGCACTGATGGAGGCTCCAAACAGCCCCACACGATCACTGCTGCCCAAGCTGGACCAGACTCATCAGCGAGGGCAAGTGTCGTGGGAAATTCTGCAGCCAAGGATGCTTTGGTTACTTCTAGAAACCAAAATACAAACAGTACCAGCTGGGTGCAGGACAGGCAGGTCTGTGGCCACAGGGGTAGGTAGGCAGACGTGGGGCAGAGCGTTAGATTGCCCCTCTGCCTCCACACTTGGTACTTCCTCAACTTAATGTTGAAACAAGAATGAGCTGTGCTAAACGTCTCCACCGCTAACAAGAAACAAATGTGGCCTCGTGTTCTAGTTGCTGTGATCTAACAAAACAGACCATGGTAAACACTGTAAAAATGTACTGGAGGGAACCACCCTGTGTTTGCTGGGAGAGGGACTGGATAATCTAATAGGGTTTTATCCATCTCTAATGTCTCTGAAAAAAAGAAGGGAAAATTGGGCTCAGTCCATGACATTCGTCATGTGCTAGCTATTCTGATGTCTTAATGCTGCAGAAATCAAATTGGAGCGAGTCTACCTATCTGCCTCCCAATCAGGATCTAGACCCAAGTGCTGCTTTTTATGGCCATGCAGCATGAGGAGCAGCTGATGTCAGCAGCAGCACAGGCCAGGCCAGTTTTTCCATCCCTCTCCCCACGTTATCTGGAGAGACAGTCCCTTTGCGGTCACTTCACTGTCCTCATGACGTGGATAATTGCTCATTTCATGGACCTGGGTGTCCACCAGTGGGACCTTCCTCTGGCTGAAAGCATCTGCGGGGACAAGGTACCTGCCCAAAAGGTCAGCACTTCTCTGGGCACCTGGGTGCCGTGGTATCAGCAGTAACACCGGCATGGTCATGTCTAGATTTGTATCTTGACCATGGTAACGGCAAGGGTTGATTCAGTCACCTACCTCTGGGCACCTCATGGTGCCTTAGGTACCTGTCCAACCCTTAAACAAAGGGTTAAGGGTCTCCTGTAGCTTCAGTGCCAGATCTGCCAGCCCCCACCAGGATTCTCTGATGCCCTCCGGCACTTCAGACAGCCTTATACCCTCTGCTCAGGTGGGCACCAGAAATCACTCCCACCCAAGTCGCTCTCCTCCCATACCTCTGCCTGTAGGAAGAGCCTTGGGCAGGCTCTGCGAGGCAGGAGGACCCCCATCCAGCTGCCAGGAGCCCTGTCCCCATCGGCATGCTGGCTGCCATCTCCGGAAGGGAGAGAGAAACGGACCCCACTCAGCTCCTGCGCAGAGCCGCGGGCTGCACAGGCAGCCCCATGCCACTGCTGATGTCTGGCCAGGTTTTCTGCGTTCACTCCATCCCCTTTTTTCAAGCATCTTGGGTTTATTGTTCGTTCTTTCTAAAGCTACTGTGACCTTGGCACGGCGATGGACAAACATCAACTGCCAGAAAACAGCATGTTCTGACAAGCTACACAGAACAAACCCACAGCCTCGTTGCAGTCTGCAAGCAAGATCTCCATCTGGGGAGGGCAGAAAAGAAGCAATTGGGGTGCTCGGAGAAAGTGCTGCGGAGAAGCTGCAAGTGCGAAGCATGGCAGCTCCTTGCCCAGCCCGCGGGATGACGTTTCCACGCGCTCCTCTGGCTCCTACCTGGCTCTTCCCGCGCCGCCGGTAATTCCTTCTTACGAGGTTCTTGTAATTCTCATTCTTCTTGGTCAGGTAGTAGTACAGGACGCAGTCCGCCACCGTCTGCAACGACACGGGCAAGTCAAGGAACAGAAGGTCCCATCCTCTTGCTCCGCTCCGCTAAGGCACAGACTTCCAGGAGCAGCGGTCAGGCCCCACCACTGCCAGGTCTCCTGCTGCTTCCAAAGGTCTGCAGCCCAAACGGGCTTTCCCGCACCTCCCTCCCGGAGCCCTTTGGTGGAACTGGAAGAGGGGGACAACGCACCTTGTCCTACTAAAAAGGCTCGGCTCTTCCACGGGACAGCCTGGGGCTGTCCCGCAGGTGTGCCAAGACTGCGATGGGGGTGCGGAGCACAGAGCACCCCGTGTTGGAAGCAAAGCAGGAGGAAGGGCTGACCCCAGATGACTGTGGGAACTGACGGCAGAAGGAGAGCCGCCTGTCACCCTCTGCCACCGTTACACCAGGCACAACCTGCCACGCGACTGTCAGCTGGCGTTACTTCCAGCCGTTGAGCTCACTGGCTCCAGCACGCACGACTTTCTCACGGACAGGCTGAGATCCTGGCACTTAGGAGCCGCCATCCCGACTCCCATTCCAGCGGTCGGCTCTGCAGGCGCCATCCCGGATCGGACACCTCAGAAAAACAAGGAGCCGTGGCCTGGACACGTTCTGCTCCTGAATGGCACAGAGCGTGCTGTGCTGGGAAAAGTGCTTTGCTGAACTGGGTGAGCACCTGAACACTGGTCTTGGGCTACACCTTCGCATACAGGATCAGTGGTGGCACGAACAGAAATAATCCCACAAACTCATTGTGCTCACAGGTGCCCGGGAGCAGAGTGCTGCCGAGTGCTGCCGGGGGGGCACGGGGCCTGCGCTCCCCCCATCCCTGTGCAAGGAGTGGAACCATTTGCAAAAACAGATTGCAACTTTTAAAGTGTTAATTGGATCTCTTTCTAATCTAGCCCTGATTATACACAGGCACGCGAACAGAAAAACTTACAGTCATCTGTTCCAAGGGCTAAGATCACTATTTTTTTATAATGCAATTTAAAAATCTATTAATTCATTACATCGAGCCATACTTTGCATCTCTCTCCAACAGGATAATGGATGTGTTCTGTATCATAATTACAGCCTGATTTACGAACAAGTACAAATAAAATTAGAAGACATTTTACAGCTTGGAACACAGACTGGATTGTGAGCATCATCCAAGTCCCACTGCTTTCGGCGTGAACAAGTGGGAAAGGCCGAAAAGAGGCTGTATCTTACAACAGCAGCAGCAGCACGAGGTTGCTGCTGGCCTTCGCTCACTCACTCGCTGCTTTGGACGGGGAAGTTGAGGTCTTATAAATTATTTCCCCAGCCTGAGTCATGTAGAATCAGAGGATAATTTAGGCTGGAAGGGACCTGTGCAGGCCTTACCCCTGGAAGCAGAGGGTTCCCCTAGAGCGAGCGGACACTGTGGGGATGAAACACATCATGAGATGGGCAGAGGATGCAACTAACTACAAGGACCTGAGAAGCAGCAGCTCTCAAGTGTTCCTTGCTCAGGAGAGCGCCTGGGCCAGCGCTGCCTTTCCAGGCTGGGTCTGCTCAGGATCTGCCCATGTGGCCTGTCCCACATGTGGTACCTGGCCTTGCTCCGAATGGGACCAGAGACTCGCTCTTCCTTTAGATCTCTTACTCAAACCTGTCTTCCATCAGCCCAGTTAGCAGCAAAAAGGAAAAATCCAAGCACACAACACAGAGGCTTGGGAAAGGTCAGGCCTTCCTGCGAGCAAACTGTTCCTAAACACCAAGGGGAGGTGTGCGCATACACGACACCAACCCCAACTGCTGGATGAACAGGGGCTCAGCCCACCCTCAAGATCCCCTCCCTGCACGAGGATGGGACCCTTCTGCTTCGTGCTGGGCAGCTGGGTGCCCGCACCCTCTGCGCGACAGCCTGGCTGGTGCCAAATGCCTCCGGGAAACGCTGGAAGTAGCTCCCCCAGGCAGCTCACAGGGTGGGCTGCAACGCCTACGCACCAGGCTGGATGCGTTCACACATCTCATGGCTCCGAGCTCCTCCTCTCCGAAGTTGAATCAGTCCCTTGTCTCTGCAGGGAGCCGGGAGGTGCCCAGACCATGCCTGGGGCTCTGAGCCACCACCACCCGCAGGTGCCCAGCATCTGCTTGCTGCTCCAGCACTGAAGGGAGGCGCGCGATGGAGAAAAGACAGCGCCAGGCAGGTTAAAGTCAGGCGAGGAGGCTTACCTTCCTGTCCAGAAAGGATGCGATCAGGCCAAAGTTCTTGGGATGCTGCATGAACCTGCAGGTGCAAGAGGGAGAGGGTTAGTGTGGGTGCCAGCTCTGATCGCTCTCACAGCTGGCCTGCTGTGCCCTGTGTGCCCGGAGCAGTGTGGTCAGCTCCCGAGGAACTGAAGGGTTTGAGAACATAGCTGTCTGCTGCTCAGCTTCCCAGAAAGACAGGAACTTTAAATTTAGCCCAGTGGAGCTGGGCTGGTCAGGAGCTTCAATGCGCAGATGTTCATTGCGGGATGGGAGAGGGCAGGGGAGCTGGCTGTGCCCAGCAGCTGCCTGTCACCCTGCTCGATGGCACGGCCACTCCAGCCCC